AATGGATGTCCATAATGCTTTTCTCGCACTGGCGATCTTGAGGAAGCCGTGTACATGAAAATGCCGCCAGGGTTCTTGGTGTCTCAAAAGGGTATGGTGTGTCGTCTCCACAAGTCCCTTTATGGTCTTCGTCAAGCTCTTCTGTTGGTTTGCCAAGCTCTCAACTCGCTCTTGTTCAATATGGATTTCAACGTTCTTCGTCCGATCACTCCTTGTTCATCTTTCGCAAAGGAGATGTCGAACCGGTTGTGTTAGTTTACGTGGATGACCTAGTCATTGCTGGCAATCATCATGAAGACATTGCGCAATTCAAAGATTATCTTCATCAATGTTTTCATATGAAGGACTTAGGGAAATTAAAATACTTTCTTGGGGTGGAGGTTGCCGGATCTCCTACAGGAATTTTCTTGTGTCAACTGAAGTATGCGTTGGACATCATAGCCGAAGCAGGATTGCTTGGAGGGAAACCCGTGTCCACGCCAATCGAAGAAAATTATCGTTTAGCATTGGCCGATGGCGAACTACTTTCTCGACCCGAGTCAATATCGACGTCTCGTCTGGCCGCCTTATTTACTTGTGTTTTACACGACCCGAATTATCTTACAGTTGTTCATGTCTTATCTCAATTCATGCACCAACCGCGTCAGGAGCATTGGCGGGCTGCACTCCGCGTGGTACGCTATTTAAAGGGCAGTCCGGGTCGTGGTGTGCTTTTAAAAAGAGAGAGTGACCTTCGTCTTTATGGTTGGTGTGACTCGGATTGGGCAAGTTGTCCTCTCACTCGAAGATCTCTCACCGGTTGGTTTATTTTCCTTGGTCAATCCCCCGTTTCTCGGAAAACCAAGAAGCAACATACGGTTTCTTGATCATCCGCCGAGGCGTAATATCGTTCTATGGCCAACACGACATGTGAGTTGAAATGGCTTCAAGGCCTTCTTTCGAGCCTAGGCATTACTCACACCGACCCTATGACTCTCTACCGTGACAACCAAGCCGCCCTTCACATTGCCAAGAATCCCGTGTTTCATGAACGGACAAAACATATTGAAGTGGATTGTCATCTTATTCGTGATGAAATACAACACAATCATATCCAACCCTCCTATGTGTCCACTCATCATCAACTCGGTCGATCTCTTCACCAAATCTCTTGGCGCCACTAAATTTGGTTCTTTATTAGGCAAGTTGGGCATTCATAACCTTCATGCTCCATCTTGAGGGAGGGTGATAAACATAGAATATACATAGAATATACGATTACAAATACCGTATCATGCCATGATTCTACATGATTATTTCTTTCCATATTTAGCTTGGCATGACAGCGATGCACATTAATTTCATATCTGTTAATAGACAAATTTAGGATACCGACTATAATGGTTAGCGTAATTATAGCCTAGAATGTTTCTGTATTTCATGTATATATTGTGCTATCATATTCAATACAAGGCAGGGGTTTTCGGATTTAATTTAAAATAGTAACTCATGTTAATTATTAGATTATAAAAATATTAATAATAAATTCATAATTTATATTATTAGGTAGGATTTTACTTTTTTTACGTAAATTCATTTATTTCAACAATAAAAATAAGTTTGTAAGTCCTGGTATTCTGGATTTGCATAAACTGATAGAGTACAAACAGCAAACAGCGATATGACTCTCCTGATCAAAGTGGGAAAACTAGTTTAATAATATTTTAATTCCCTACTAGCCCAAAAAATTCCAACTAAATATCGCAGTCCACATTATATTTGATTGCCTTTTCCTAACGCTGATGAATCTTGTTAATAAATATGTCAAACAAAAAATGTCATTGGCTGTCACATGCTGCATTGCTGATTGCGTAGAATCATTCAAACAAATTGGTCAGGGTGCAAATTCTGAGATGAGATGCACCACCCAACTTCAGAGAATGAGCACAATCCCAAACAAATCAACTAATTTTCAAATAACAACTTAACATGTTATTTAATTTTTCTCGAGATGCTGTAACAGAGATAGGAGACACATGGATGCAAGTAATGTGATTCATTAATTTGGTGCTCTTTTATTTATTTTTCGCCCAAAATATAAGCACGAGTAAAATATCCACGTGGGAGGACTGGGATCGTGGTTTGGTTCAGTTTGGCATTGATCACATGACACTGCAAGCTCCCTGTTCGCTAAATTAACTTGTTCACGTCTCATCTTTGGCGTCTTTGTGATATCAAATTGCCAAATTTATCCAATTTGGTTTTGCTTTTCATCTTTCTTTAGTAAAAGACTTGGACTGAAATTGTGTTAACATGTACTCCAAGACTATTGTGCCCAGGGCACAAATTGACCAAAGTGCATCAGAATTAAAAGAAGAAAAAGCACGACATATCGTATAGTTGTTTTTGTTCCGTTGAAGTAGACAGAGAATATGTGAATATTATCTTCAACATATATTATTGTGACATAATAAATAATATGTTATAAAAGAGAATGTATTGATTTCTAGTTAATAGTTATACCTGTACAACTGTTTTGCACTTTTGATTGTTTCCAAATAGATTGCTTGAAACTTGCTCTTGTAGCTGACCGGGACTGTTTCAAAAAGGGCCAAGGTTTGTAAACCGTGTAGATATATGTATATGAAATGTATAAGAAGCTTCTTTTTTGTACCTTTCCTTCTTCTTTTTTTCATTAAAAAAATCAACCATTGATCACTTTTCAAGAAGTAAAAAAAATTATCTCAGACTTGCAGAATTGATCGTGTCTAAGGCATTTGTGGGCCTTGTGGGCCTTGTATTGAACTTTGGAAGAACGTTTTTCTCTCTACGTTATATAGACTTATATTACATAGGTTATTTGAAAGATGTGTCTCTAGTCCCCAAAAGAAAAATAAATACTGGAAGGCAAGATTATCATCTTCAATTAACCTTAATCAATGCTGATGCTTGCCTTCTATGTTGATCATGTTATTGTTTGCTATTAAGTAGAAACAAGCATCTACCCTTTCTTATTCACATCACATCCCACTTTACACCTACTTGAAGGCTATGGATAAAAGATCATCACGTCAATTTTCAATGGAATTCAATTTTCGAATCATAAAGGATATGTGGTTCCGGGCAACGATCTCTACGCTATGTTTTTCTATCAAATTAGCGATTAATTTTTCTAACTTAGGTTTTACAACAAGTGAACGAATTAAAAGATATATTTTCTTTAGCGCAGCCGACAAAAGCTTAACGACAAATCCTTGTTTAGTTTGGTTCTGACTTCTGACTCCCTCTAAAGTGACATGTTATCAAGGTATTTGTTTATCCTTCCGATTTTCAAATCAGGAAGGATCACAACTTCAGACTATTATGGAAGCAAGATGCAGTCATATCTGAATCCTTATCGCTACTTTTAATTACAATGGAAAGGATTCAGACTATATGCTATGGATATTTCTGAAACTGTGATCTTCCATTAAAATGAGATATCTACATTGAACCTAAGAAAGGAAATCATGGCCTCACTGATGTCAAGTCCCTAGTGGTCATTTGTTATGGGATAGGTAGACTGGCCCCATACTCGTCTGGTGTTAGATTAGAGGAGCACATGCACCTTGTGGTCCTTTGAGAGCCCATTATTATAGATAATGTAAGTCCTTGTAACGTCAATGAGGAAAAAACTTAACCATATAATTTTCACTTACTGGTTTTGATTTGAGAGTAAGCAATACAAATCAGTAACAGTGACAACGATACTTCCCCCTAATAAATTCAATTGGTTACGCGGGACATGAATTGTAATTGCGAGTTAGATTTTTCTCGTTGCCCTTCCTATATTCTCATTTCCATGTCCTCTCTTCCACGCTATATAAAACACACTACACCTCTCTCATCATTGGAAAAAAAAAATCACCAAAAAACAAAAAAGACCAGTATAAAGGAAGCATAATGTCTGCTGTAAATCCACTTAAGCACTTAATGTCTTTCAAGTTTTTTTTAGCAAGTAGCAACTGGCAGTGAAGCAACAACCCTACAAAGACAATGCAAGCCATAGGTCAATTAATTGAGCATAATTACTAGTGAACCCAATACCAGTAATTTTGAACATCACGCCCAATTTGGTAGAACAAAACAAAGTAAAATGACTGCATCGACCAAATCTGTATAAGGTTAGATTAAATATTTGGCAAACCATATCATATCAGTTCTCTACCACTAACTAACACTCCTAAGCATGAGATGTAAACTTCCAACAAACTCGCTCCAGCATTTTGTTAAAGCTTCACCATCGAAAAAAAATCTGTGATTGTGACTCCCCAACGGGGTCACCAATCCACGCCATCATTTCAACCCACAGCCTCCACAAAGTTGAACTGTACTAGAAAGAAATATCACTATTTTCTTTTTCCCATCCATTCATCGTCAATTAGTTTTCAACCTTTTCTAATAGAATCCAACCTCACATGGAGGAAAGAAACCCGAAACCCCAAAAATTAAATAAGGACAACGACATCTTCATGCTAAAAAAAAAAAATTCAAAAGTTACTCATCTAACTCCTTGTCCTCACTGTTCATCTATTCAACCCACAATTACCGGCTTTTCCGCTGGTGATAATTAAACTCTTTTGAACAAGTTGCAACCATAGCAAAGTCAGAAAAAACGCACCAAAGAGTTTTGCTAATATGTACCAATTTAACCCATTTAACCTAAAAGATCAATTTATCAGTCAGGCATAGTCAATTTCACGAAAATTAAAAAAAAATTCATCAGAAGTGCTAAATTTCATTGCTATCTATATAAACAACATATACAAAAATTCGGTTCCAGATCTGTCATCACATTATTACACCATCCATTTTTTAAAAAAGGTTTTTTTAATCTGGGTCGACTTCGCCTCCCCAGCCATAACTTGACCTTAAGATATTCACTCATATCTTTCTTTTTTAAAAAAAAAATACATTTAACAAAACATTTCTCAGTATATATGTATTTAATATTTTTCTATATAGTGTCAAAAATTCCACCGTCAGCATAATCTCCAATCCAAGCGGACCTCCGCGGGGCCATGCACGTGCTGACTGGGCTTCCGGAATGATACGATGTGGCTGCTCACCATGAAGGCTGTTACACGCTCGGAGACTCTCACATCTTCCATATTCAACTCCTGCAACCTAAGCACGTACTCCGGCACGTGCAATAGGTCCCACACCACTCCCACTCCACCAGGCTTCATCACTCTCACCAACTCCGCCACCGCGCGCATCCTCTCAGCCGCGGCCTCAGCCGTGCGCGCGCCGTACTCCCTCCCGACCGTGTGCACGAACACGCCGGACACCACCACGTCGAAGTAGTTATCTGGAAAGGGCAGCCTACGCGCGTCACCCTCGCGGCACGTCACGTACTCGCCGACTCCTTCCATCTTCGCCGCGCGGAGCGTCGACAGCGTCGTGCGCTTCGACCGGTCGAGGCCGACTACACGTCCGGAGCTCCCTTCCTTCTTCATCTGCGTCGCTACCGCGTTCAGGAGGATGCCGCGGCCGCAGCAGCCGAGGTCCAGCGCGAGCTTCACGGAGGACCAGTCGTGCACAGCGGAGACGATGCGCTGCGCCATGTCGAAGTGCAGCGGCACGGAGGAGTAGAAAAAGTTCGCCGCCGCGAAGAAGAGGCACAGTGCAGAAAGCGCCGTAACGGAGCCAGTGATTCCGGCGGCGAATCGCGCGGTTCCGCCGGCGCCGGAAAAGATTCGCTCGAAAAAGTTGCAAACGAGATCAAAATAAAGAAGATACAAAACAGACAACACAGAGAAGAGCATAGCCTGGCAGATGAGGAAAATTAGGGTTTGGCGCTGCTCCATTCCATAGATCGCGTACATCTGCGTCCAGTCTCTGTTACCGTTCGTCGATTTTCCCATTCGCTTCTAAAAAGCTTCTCCTCGCGCCTCGGTTCACTGCTTCAGCGAGTTGCTGAATACAATCTGCAATAATTCAGAGTGAGGCTTGTTTTAGAAAACGTGCATATCGTTTTGGTTTTCATTGCGAAATATAAAAAGTGTGTGAATGGTTTGAATGTGTCTCCTACGAGAGAAAATCATTTGAAGGTTTTGAGAGTGAGTGAGTCAGATCCAATTTCTTGGCGGTGAAATGAAACAAAATAACGATGCAGTAGTGACAGTGACGACCATACCGTCGATGATTTTCCACTGGTATAGTTGTCAGTTACGGTTGTCTTCCAAACGCGTTTTGCTTCGTCGTTTTGCGTCCTTCGAAACGGCAACGCTGTTCTGCGTTTCAGTCTCTCTCTCTCATCTTCGTGTGTCTGGTTGGGACTAGCAGTGCACGGATTTCAAGAGTGGCGAAAGAGGAGTGAAATATTGTTATGAATGCCAATGGGATGGGACCTTCTTGTTGGTTGTGATTAGTCAAGAAATACTTATATAGTGTGTACGGTGATGAAGACCCTTTGAAGAGTTTACCGGCTCACCGGCTTAGGTGGTTGCCAACTTGCTTCTCGCTACTGAGTCACTTTTTTCCGTTTTCGTGTTTTAAAAGTAGGAATGAAGGAAACTGTTTTGATCGGGTCCTTGTAACGTTTGGTTCGGTCACTCGTTTACAGCACAGCCTCTGAGATCTTGGTAAAACTCTAATTAATGCCAATAATTTTCAGTCTCATATATTTGGACTTTTTCCCTTCTGTGTGGAGAAAGAAAGTAAAACTCACACTTTCCTTTGGAAGCATGACATTTATTGGGTGGTAAATTCGTTGTTACTTTTGGTTCTTAATTCAACAATATTACCATCCTTTCTGTGTGCTTATTTATGGAGAATTTCTTATCAAAATTATTAGCACGTGACCGTTTACTCACTTCCTCTCAAAAACTATTTTTCAATGTGTTAATTCTGCGAAAAATTGGAGCCAATTGCAAATTTACCTAATTAACAGGTAACAAGTTTGGCGAAATGTGCCTGCCCCCACTAATAAAAAAATATATAATAATAAATGCGTAAACTGCACAATATATTCCTTTTTGTTTTTCTTGTTATACTCAAATGGTGAAGATTTCCTTAATCACATTATTATTACCACTTTTATGACACGATCCCTTCACGATGGTTAGTTTTAATTTGTTGCACAATTCTTGATCAACCATTTTCTTTATTTTATATGCATGTCCTAACGCGATCAAGATAATGAAGACAGAATAAGACAATAATCATTGCACATTTCTTTCCAATTTGAATGTGATTTTCAGATTTTTAAAACCAATTTCCGTAAGAGATTATTTTGCATTTAAATCATGATGATAACTAGTTTATCGTACTAAATTGGGATATCTAATTTTCACAAGTAATAATTTTGTACTTCCAATTAATTAAAAATCTTTATCCTACCAAGTTAGCTTTAATTGACGCTTTGATATAATATAACTAGTTTTGGGGCTTTAACTAGACTATAGTGATTTGTGGTAATGTATTGGGGTAGGTTGCTTTCGCCTCATGATTTTTTAACTAACCACTCTAGTGATGCACTCTTATTTTGTACTGTACTTCATATTAATTCATGGCAGCATCAATACATTAAATATATTCTTATAAATATTTTGAATTATTTAAAAATAATTATTAGATTATTTTATATTTGAACATAATTATTTTTAAAAATTGTTCATGTATTTTTCTTTTTACAAGAGTATCACGTAGGGTTAGCTTAGGTGGGAAACTATGAATAGGAGAAGAATCAGGTGGAGTCATTAGTTGAAATTCTTAGATGCTGACTCAAAAAATTAAGTTTATAACTGCTGTCTCAAATTCACTCTAAGTTGGTTGAATTAATTGACAATCTTGATAGTTTTTCATATACAAAAAAAAAAAAATCAATATTCAATTAAACTCAAATGGTATTTTTTTTTTTTTTATCTATTTATGGTGTCAAAGTTCTTCAACTTTCATGACATACTGTTATTTGCTTGAAATTCAAAACAAGTATGAACACATAACCCACTTTAAAGATTTTTCTACCACTGAAATGATCTAGAGCGACAAAGATGCCATACAGTGTCCTTTATTCAAGCATCACAGTTTGCAAATCACACTTTTCCTTTTTCTTATTCTCTCCTTTTTCACAAGAATATTCTGATAAATATAAGTCGTTTAGCCATGTTGAAACACGATGTATTATGTCCGTCCACTTCCAAAGTTGATGACTAAACACAATCGACAGTGCAATTTTGGTTAAATTAATATTCAATGTACAATATTATATAATTACGTAACCTGGAAACATAAAATCCATACGAAATCCCAAATTTTACTCTACATAATTTGTTTTCTATGAATAAAAGGATTGCATAGTAAACTTTGGAACAGAGACTACCGAATGCATTGTTCTTAGAGGAAAATGGAAAACGAAAATCCTCACGTCAAAACCTGTGTCTAACTATACTTTCTTTTTCATTTGGTGACAAAATTGTCTTGACTCAAGTTGTTGTACAAATAAAATTAATAGAATACATTCGTAATAATTCATTGAGTGATTTTTCAAACTAATGCACCATTGAGTGATTATTGTTTGTGTAATTACTACTAACAAAAATAAAAAAGTGGTGAAATAGTGTTTTTATGCATTAGTCTGGAAAAAGTCGGTGTAGCATTTCTTAATTGAGTTTTTTTTTTTTAATTCTTTATATATTGTCCAAGCAATTTTAAAATAGTATAAGTTACTCATAAACATTTCGGTTCAACCAACATTAACACATAAAAATAAAATTTATCTTATAGTTTAATCCTTTGTATATTGTTATTATAAATAATATCCAACGTAATGTCTAAATTAATTATTATAAAATTAATTGTTTTTACCGGTGTAATAAAGATTAATAAGAAAGTGTAAAAAAATTGGTGATCGAATTTCATGTTTAAATTTTGAGAATGTGAAAATAGTTCTGATTTAAAATTATAGAGAAGTTATATATAATAGCACTCACACACCCAATCAACTTTTAGGTATTTGAGAATAAGTAATAATGTGAGTTTTTCAATTAAATATTTTTATATAATAATATATAAGATAATAAATATAAAAAATAATAATTAATGATAATGATACTAACTTATAAAATAATAATAAATAAATAAATAAATAAAATAATCATACATGATAAATTTGAAAACAAATTTAGAAAAAAAAAACCTAGTAGTTGAGATAACCATCCATGTTAAACATGATTAGGTACCTTTCTTTCGCCATACTCTGCGTGAGGGAGGCAGTATGCTCTAACATTGCACAGCTCAGAAACAGCAAATAAAAATTATAAACCCTCATCATTTTCGCACTTAGTTTTTATCACTTTATGATTAATGTAATAATTGCATATATACCAGTGGTTTTGTTTTAGGGTTAAAAAAAAATTAAAAACAGTGGATGGATCATACTTAGATAATAAGAAAAAATAAGTCATATAATTTTAACTTATTGTTTTTTCTAAGAAAATGGTTAAACACCTTAAACACAAAAATTAGTTCATTAACATTGCGTTTGCAATTTTTATAGATTCATCTTGTATAAATCGTACATGGAAAAAAATATATAAATATTAAGATGTGAGTGTTTAATTCTGACAAAAAAAATAAAAGATTAGTATTCTCATCATGAAACTTTAAATTATCACTTAAAAAGATATATATAGTTTTTTAACTATGATAACATTTGATGCCAAAAAAATATTTTCATTCATTGTAATCACAATTCCTGATGAATATAGTTCTTATAAATTTTATTTTATGAGTAAAAATTATTAAAAATATTTATATAAGTTTTTTTAGAATTAAAAACGTAATGCGATATTTTACTAAAGATCTTAATTTATTATCGTATTAAATGTTTTAATAATAATAACAGGATTTTTTTATTGAAATTTTTATTTCAATTTGGAAAAGTTGATTTTCACCTCTCTATTGCACTGTATTTGTTTGGAAAACATAAAGAAATATTATTTTCTAAAAATAAATTATTTCTTATATATTAGTACTTTAATTTTATTTTTATATTTTAAGTTTTAAATACATTTTTAATAATTAATTTTAAAAATAAATTAAAAAACTTATTTAATAACTTTAATTTTTAATTTTTTAAAATGAAGAAAGACGATGTTGATAATAATGAAAGACTGCGAGACTTTATATTTTTACAATGATAAAGACGAGCTATATAATACAAATATTAGTGGATAAATGATAATAATAAAGTATTAAAACATATATGATGATTTTCATTTTTAAATTTTAAAAAATTTAAAAATTATCTTGACAAAATTATTATCAAATAAAAAATTTAGTTTTCAAAATTTTAAAAAATTAAAATAATTTAGAATAAACCCTTACATTTCAGAAAATTTTTCTATCAAATATCCATAAAAAGATTCATACATTTTGTAATTAAATCTTAATTATCATTGTAAATATTACTCCCTTTTTTCTCATTTTAGTTTTCACAACTTTTTCTATTAATAAATTAGTTTTCATTGAAAAATTAACAAAATGAAATATTTTTTTTAAATAAAATTGGTCTATGCGTAAATACAAATAATAAATAAATTATTTGTGTATAAGTTAATTTAAATTTAAATTTATTTTTATTTTAAAAATATTGTAAAAAAGCTAATCTAGATATATCCTACTAAATAATCATCTAAATATTATTTTCACCTCTCACTTGTCACACTCCCTCACTTATTTTTAAACAACCGTCTTATATTCTACGATCTAAGTGTACGAGTAGAGATAATATAAATAAACAAATAAAATTTATTATTATTACATATGATTAAGAATAAACTGTTAATTTACTTTTTAATTTAGTGATTATTTGAATTAATTCCTATAAAAAAAACTGAAAATTGGTTTCTAAATTTATATG